TAGAGAAGCTTAAATTTCTAGAAGATACCAAAGCCATTCTACTCCTCCTCTTATATTGCTGCAGGTGAATTTATTCTTGTGTGCAAGGCATCCTAAATCTGCCTAAGTAGACTCTTTCTGGGTACTTATACAGTATGTGTATTTGTTGCCCTTGAGAAAAACACCAGGATACGGTAAATCATTGGACACATGTACAGTTCAAGTTTAGTCAAGGATCAGTCAACTTGTAATTACTTTTCATATTTTAAAATACAGATATGTCTATAAAAATGAATGCAGATACTGGTGTTAATTATAATTTTGGGCTGATTTATTTAACCTGTATTTTTGAGTAATGTAATTAGTATGAAGATTTTATCTTCTTTCTTTATGCCCAGTGGCTATAATGTTTTATAAATAGCCCTAAACAAATGTACAGTTTAGCCCCACCCGCATGGAGAAATTGCAGAATTCCTTGCTAAGCTGCTCATTTTGATTTAGCACCTGCTTCAGCGTGAACATGTATTTGGTCCTACTGACTTAAGCAGGTTTTGTCAGGTTTTGTCTCTTCACTGAACTGAGAATAATTAACATGCATGTTTAAGGATTTTGCGTAGTTTGCTTAGGTTTCCTGCAGGACATGTAACTGGATAACTACTCAGGGCACTTCAACCTAGAGTTCATGGACTCAGAGCTAGAGACAGCACAGAGGGAAGACACCTGTGAGTCCATCTCAAGGGGCCTTGGAGGTAAGCAAGCCTATTGGCACAGATGTCCAGACTTCTGAGGTTTCCAGGTGAAACCCTGAAAAGCTGAAAGAGCTGGAAACCACTAAGCTATTTCACATGTAATCACATCTGTTACCACGTTACATTATGCACCGCACCACTCCCGTGCTGGAAAAAATAGGGGTTAGATACTCAGGAACTAGGTTATCGCATGGAATGTGTCAAATGAGTGTCACTAATTGGTAGCCTAATAGAAAATTAAGCCATAAAAACTGCAGTGAACATCAATGCTTTTACTCTGCTATTGTATGTAGCTTTCAAAATATACTTGAAAAAGCTATAACCTATTATTCTGTCAAGCAACTTGCACAAGAGAAGGATTTTTACCATTTCAACAACATACCAAGCAGTATCCATCTTAGAGAAATTTGTAAACTGTCGAGATTTTTATAAAAGAATATATTTCAAGCTAGTCTTCACCAAGATTGAAATGAAATCTGTTTATAGAGTACAATAAACATATGACAGAACTATCAACTTTGTGTGTCAAGAGTTGTTGCTGGTAAATCAATATGGATGCTAGGGCACCAGGCACTTTAAAAATCGATATAATAAATAAATAAATATAAGAGTTGAATTACAGTTTAACACCCTGTGTACAGAGATGTGATTCATCTTGACACAAATAATACGTGCTGGATTATCAACAGAGATGACATTCTTTAAAGCACTGAAGAGAGCCTGCAATCAAAGGACTGGACTAGAAGTTAAAAAAATTATTTCCAGGCCCACTGACTGACTGGTCTAATGGCAGGTTTAACCTTCTGATGACTCAATTTTTTTATTTGTGAGATTAGGACAATAGAAAGTATTTTGAGACTCTCTGCTATGCAAAGTGTTATTAAAATTAATTATGGCTAGAAGGGATACATTTCCCACTTATAGTCACATTTATGCACTAAGTTCTTCTGAAGCAATTACTGAATTACTGGGTTTGGAAAGCAGCTAGGAGAACTGCACCTGGGAAGTTAAAACTGGTTCTGAGCCTGATGTTGCTCTTTCCTTTGTGTGGTGGGTTTTTTGTTGTTTTTTTTTTTTTAATAAGATCTTATAAAGCATCCAGCACTGACCTAAAGGCAAGGTGAAAAATGTAGGAATAAATGAAATGGCACAACCTGGTTTCTGATTAGCAGAAGAAGGAAAAGAGAATGGCAGAACAGTGAGGATAAGCAGGTCAGACAGGCTGTATGTAGTCAGTACCCAGACTGCCTGGTAGAGCACAGGCCTGGGAGAGAACTAAAGCACCCTGTTTTCTTCAGTTCCATGTTGTGTACATCTATGGTCAGCCTTAGAATTACTTTAATTTAGTATGGTGTACCTACAAAAATATCAGGCATTAAAAGAAAACATGTTCTTTTTATTCCTGAGCCCTTACTTCATGTCACATCAGGTCTTTCTAAGAACAAGTCTACAGCTGACCTGAACACTTTGTAGCCTGTGAGGAACCCACTAGAGTTCTTATTAATGAATTTCACAGTTTGTAGGGTACAGGTGTCAGCAGGAGGGAAAAGAAAAAGGAAAACAAATTTTTCAAAAAGGAAAAAAATACTCTTCTTGGAAACTTGAGAAATAAGAGTCCCATTCTTCAGAAGATGTTTTCTGGGGTTTGATTTGGACACAGCAAACCTTTGCAGGTAACAAAAGGTAAAAAGGAAAGGAAAAGGGGTGAGTAGCTAGCTATAACTTTTATTGAACTGTTTTAAAACAGGAATTAAGAATTCCCAATGCACCATGAAGACAAGCAAAAAGGATGTGTCTTTATACCATGATCAGAAAGATGAAGGTGCTACTGCCTAAGTGGCCTTGGTTCTTTCGTCTATTTGATAAATATTTTGTAGGCAGAAGTTCAGTTCCCTTAATTCCCAAACAATCTAAGCACCATGACTGCTCCAACTTCCTCCATTTATGTTTAAAATATACTCACAGCCAACTTCTGGGAATTTAGTCAGGCTTGGGTAAGTTAGCAAGGCTTCTCAAGAGTTAACAACTGAAAGCTTCTGGTAGGAGTATTATGTTCAGCATTGGCAAGATTGAATCTCTGTTTAGACCAGTTCTTGTTGAAATTAACATACGGAAGCTGGAGCATTCAACCTTTGATATTTTATTTCAACAAAAATGTCACTTTGCCCTTAATCCATAAATAAGTCTTAGTTTATCATCTACCAAACTGCCTAAGCAGAAGCAGAGGGGGCACCATGTATCACATGCTTGATCAGATAGAGTGATATGCTCCTGTGGTAATACTAACTTATAGGACTGACCAATGTATGAAGGCGAGTGTGTTTAAAGAAATCTTCTTTTCAAATAAAAAAAGAATTTAACTTTCAAAATGTCCTTACTTTTAAAGAAGAAAGAGTGGAGTAGGCTAATGGAACAAATGGGTAGGTCCAATCAGGTGAGGTGGAGAAAGAAGATTTTAAGAAAGTAGTGAGTCAGTGTATATAAAAGACAGACCCAAAATCACAGGAAAGAGGGTTATAAAACTTGCAACAGGTTTTCTTAGGGAGCAGATTTAAACAAAGACAAGCCAAAAGCATATTACCATTAGAAATGTACTCAAGCTATAACATTTAGGTCTGGAAATTTTATGACACTTGAAATTTGATTCAGACCCCTATATTCTTACCCATTTAATCCTTGATAGAAAAAGGCTATTAACATAGAATAACACATTTACACTAATAGCACCAACCATAAACATTATATTTTCATTTTAAATACAACAGAAGGAAATTTTTTTTACTGAACAAAGGTGGATTCCTGGCTCTAAAGGTTTTAAACAGTTGGTCTGAACCAAAGTTTAGATGGAAGAGAATGCTAAGATTAATGATCATGAGGAGTAAAAGATTTAAGAAGGAAATTACTTGAAAAATTGTTGACAGATTATTCCCGATGTTTAATCCTGTCTGAGGGGAAAGGCATACAGGTGAGTGAACAAAGAAGAAATATTGGGATAAGGTGAGGTGTTCAATAGAAGGAATAGAAGTGATGATGCACTTACATAGTGAGGTCATGCAAAACCCGTCGGTGGTGGCAACAGCCATTCTTGGTAAAAGACAAGACACATTCACAAGTAGATGGTCTTGGATGACACAGTGGAAAGGTTACTAACGCACTCCACTTTTGGTGGAATGTGTATGAAATTAATGAGAACTGAACCTGTAGAACTAGCTGTTTCCCTCATGACATTGTTCATTTTGTGCCTAAATTATGCCCCTTTCCCCTGATTTGGGTCTGTTTAGAGTAACAACTCTTCAGGGAAGAGACCAGCCATTGTTTCTGTTTGCATAGTTCTTGTGTCTTAGGCTAACCTAATAAACTTGCTTTATAACAGAGGAACTTCTGGAGTCTTCAGTGTTTCCTACGTGGGAAGATCACAGAATGTGACAGGAGGCGAGTACTTGCAGGAATGTTAGGGGCAGCATCAAAATATTTCTAAAAGACACAGAATCATTTGTTTCTTTTTTCCCCTTTTTGCTTGATCGGTAAAATTGCTGTGATGTAGTCAGAGCTGGTTTGCTTTGGCCGAAAGTAACGCACCTTCAAGGTAGCAAGGTTTTCAGCATAAAACAGGGGGGGGAAAAAAAAAAAAGACCTTAACTGTTCTGTACTGCTCACGACAAGGATGACCTTTACGAAGACGTTTAGATCAGGGCGGGCGCGTAGCGTGGTACCTTCTCGGTGCCCTCAGGGGCCACAAACCCCACGGAACTACAGCGGGCTGGAACCGGGACGCGGAGCAAGGCGGTCAGCGGGCAAACACCCCGCAGGGGAACAAAAGGGGCTGCTGCGGAGGCCGGCGCAGAAACGAAAGACAAAAATTAACGGCAGCGGCTCCCTCGAAGCCCGATTACAATCGGTCACTCGCCCGGCGATCGACTGGGCGGCGCCGCGGCAGCTGCCGGCCGCATTCCTTCACGCCCCGCTCGCCCGGGGAGCGGGCGGCGGCTGAGGGGGCCGCTCTCCCGCGCCGGCTGCCTTCGCGGCTCCCCCTCCACAGCTGCGAGGAGCTTTTACGGACCGCCGGCCCGGCGGCCGTGGGCTCCGGCGGCGGGCAGGT